TTTTTTGGTACCGGGAATCGAACTCAGGACTTGCACTTGTCAGGCAGGCGCTTATGCCACTGAGCTATATCCCCGGCCCTATGCTGATCTTAATATGGATTTGTTTTTGTTTTTGTTTTTTTCCGGTACCAGGAATCGAACTCACAACCTTGTGCTTGCCAGGCAGGCGCTGTGCCGCTAAGCTAAATCCCCAGCCCCCTATGCTGATCTTGAACTTGCAGCAAGCCACCTGCCTCAGCCTTCCGAGGGTTGGGATGACAGGTGTGTGCCACACCCCGGATAGTACTTTAAATCATCTCCAGATGATTATAATGATTAATACAATGCAAACACTGTGGAAATAGTCTTTATACTGCATTGTTCAGGGAATAATGACAAGGGAAAAAGTCTGTGCATGTTCAGTGCAGATGCAATTATTTCTCTGAGTTATCTTTGATCTGAGGTTGGTTGAATTCTCATTTGCAGAACTCACAGATATGAGAGACTGACTGCCTATTCATTAATAAGTCTTACCTTTCTCCCATTATTTTTCAAGTTAACTTTAAAATTAGTCCAATAATAAAATAAAACAATAAAAAAATAGTTAAAAAAATAAAATTAGCCCACAACCCAGCTCCTTGGGAGGTTGAGGCAGGAGGATTCCAAGTTCAAGGCCACCCTAGGCAACTTAGTGAGACGCTTTTTCAAAATAAAAATGAAAAAGGGCTGGGGCTGTAGCCTATTACAGCAAAAAGAACAGCCAGGGGTGGTGGCTCACACCTGTAATCCTAGCACTTGGGAGGCTGAGGCAGGAGGATCGTTGTGAGTTCAAGGCCAGCCTGGGCTACAAAGTGAGCTCAAGGCCAGCCTGAACTGCCATAGCCAGACCCTATCTCAAAAAGACAAACACACACACACACACAGACAAACACACACACACACACACAAGTTCAGAGCTTGTGGAACATGGGGATCATGATGGGCTCAGAGGGGAATGGTTCATTATCCCAGAGGTGGTCTGAAAGTGGAGGCTTTGACATCTGGTGTTGTGTGAATGTATTTTTGGTTGAACGACTCAGTAGTGCAGGGCAGTCAGAGAACTGCTTGGAGGAGGAGTGTTAACAGCGTGAAGGGTGACTGCGGGGAGCGTGAAAGGGGTGGCTGTACCGGATGTTGTAAGGCTGAGTTGCCTAACACCTGCACCCCGCCCCACGCAGGGAGCCGCCTGCACCGTCCAAAAGCCTGGTGCCCTCTGGAAGAAGCAGCAGATGTTTGCTTCCCTGCCTCTGTGGCTCTGACCCAGCTCAGCGAACCCTTCCCTGCTCTCGGACCAGGAGCTACCAGGACAGAAGAGGCGGGGCGGGGCGAGTCTTTCCCAGTCCCGCAGCGGGGGCAAATCCTGCTTTCCCAAGATGGCCCTTCCACATGCCTGTCCCCCGGGAGTGCCTGACACGTGTCCCACCGGTCTGCACAGCTGTGTGGTTTGCATGTAACTGACCATGCAGAAGTGACCACGCTGCATGACCCCCAAGATGAGGCAGTAAAAAAACCACACGGCGTCTGCCTGGGTCACTGAGATGAGCCACTGCTTAGCATCTGCAGGGGTTGGTTTCAGGGCCTCTGAGGACATGAAAATTCAGAGTCAATGAAATGAAATGATGTACTCACACAGAGCTTAAAGCTTAGGTGCATCCATATATATATATTTTAATAGTACTGGGTAGCACATCTCCCTCCCTTTTTACTTATTTTTTCCTTTTTATTTTTTTGAGACAGGTTCCTCAGGCTGGCCTCAAACATGTGTTCCTTCTTCCTCAGCCTCCCAAGGTGGGATTATGGATATGTACCACACCACTGTGCCTGGTCTTCCTGTGAACTTTATTTATTTATTTATTTATTTAGTCTTTTTGAGGCAGGGTCTCGCTATGCAGTTCAGGCTGGCCTTGAGCTCACTTTGTAGCCCAGGCTGGCCTTGAACTCGCAACGATCCTCCTGCCTCAGCCTCCCGAGTGCTGGGATTACAGGAGCGCACCACCATACTCTGCTTTTCTTGTAAATTTTAAATCATCTCCTGAGACGTATAATGCCTAATATAATGCAAATGCTAGGTAAGGGGTCACTGTATGGTACTGTTTAGGGAACTACGTCATGAAAAAGAAGCCTACATATTCGGCACAGATGAAAGCTTTTAAAAAATATTATCACTCAGGAGGCTAAGGCAGGAAGGTCTCCATGAATTCAAGGCCAGCCTGAACTACATAGTGAGATCCTGTCCTGAACCCTGCCCGCCCGCCCAGATGGATGCACAGTAGGTTGGGTCTCCAAGTGCAGGGCCAGGGTACAGACACCATCCAGGCCTCAGCGGCCCTGCTACAAGTGCTACCACTTTGCACCTCCTGATTGCATCCTGAGCCAGAGACACTCATCTGAGGCCACCTTCCCCTCCGGATCTCGGCCCCCAGGGACCATGAGCAATAATGCAGCCATCACCACCCTGCGCAAAGTCACGGAGTGATGCTTTATGAGCTCCAGCTGACGAGAAAAGCAGCCTCATCCTGCCTCTGGCACAGCCTAGGCATAGCATGAGCTCAGGGGCCAGACCAGCAGGGGACCACTGTGCTCATCAGACGGGTTCTGTGGAGTGATTGCGGCTGGTGACCCTTGGCCAGCGGCCAGTCCTGGCTCCACATTCCCATCCTGGCTCCACATTATTCCTGGAATTCTGTGAGTGACCCCAAGCCCTCCCATAAGGTCCCTTTCTGCCCCTGAGACGGCTTCTGCGGCTTGGATACAAACTTGTGAGCTCCTGCCTTGTGGATACCTCACCTCCTCTTTTCCATCTCAGCTGAGATGTGGCCGCCTCCTGGAGGCCCTCCCCGATTTCCCAGCCTGCCTCAGGCACCCTCTTTGTCCTCCTGAGGCCCTTGGGCTCCAGCATCCTGGTCCACTCAGCCTGGGTCCTCCTAGGCTGTCTCCTCCTCTGGCCTGCGGGCCGCAGGGGAAGCAGTGGCTACTGCTGCATCACCAGCACTGTGGAGCCCGGGGCACGGGTGGGGGTTCAATCGGGGTGTGGGCTGTGTCAACTGGAAGTGGAGGGAGCCCCGGTCCCTGGGATGGTGGCAAGGTGGGGAGACAGTTCCTAGGGTGACTTTGCTGCCATTGCTGCCGCTCCGGGAGAAAGGCCAGGAAGGGAGGAAAAAGAGAGGGGTGAGGGGAGACTGGCTCGAGGGGCAGGGTCGGTCGGGTCCCTTGGGCCATGGGGTGAGCTTGGGCATCCGGGCCCGGGAACGTCTTTGCTAGCATGGGGTGGGGCCGGACGCCGGATTGCCCGAGAACCTGGGTTGCAGACTTCTGAGACTGAAGAAAAAGGCTGGGCCCACCTCTCCAAGTGAGGGGCTGAGGGCAGAGGGGGTGTGGGGCTGGGCTCCTGGGATGACCATGTGGTCACCAGGCTCGGGCACCGCCCTTCCTCAGCGCCAAGCTGCCCCCTAGCGGTGGCTGCCCTCTCGCATCACGCAGCAGAGGTCTGATCAGGTTTGGCAATTTATTTCGGGTCACAACCCCCTTCCAGCCCCCGAGGGTCCCCGGTAGCAGCTCATCTGCGCGGCCTGCGGTGCAGGAGAGAAGGGGGTTAGGGAGGGGGCGAGGCTCGGCATGGGGGGGGGACGGGCAGACGCAGGTCGGGTGGGGTGGACTCACCTGGCTTCAAGGCCTGGGGAGCCGTCGCGGGTCCCACAGAGGCAGCTGGAGGGGCGCGTTGCCCTTTAGGAGTTTCTGTAATGGAGCGCGTGGGGCGGTTGATTTCCTGGGACCGGTGTTTCCCCTCCACCTCTTTTCCTTAGACCCAGGAGCCCCAGGCCGGCCTCACGGTCTGCCCACTTACTCTGTGGCCCCCTCCGTGGCCTGGGCCCTGGAGCTGGCGTTCCACAGGGCTGAGGCCATGGTCCTGATTCTCGGCAAGGGAAGGGGGGCCCGGAGTCGGGGGAGGGCCAGAGGTGCCTGGGAGGGCGGAGATTCAGAAATGCCCTAGGTGACATGTCCTAGTGTCATTTCATTGATCCAGCAATGGGGAGGGCCATATGATAGGGCCTGGTCCCCAGTCCAAGCTGGTTTCCCCTTGGCCCTTTGCCTTGAGAAGGATGAAGTTTTATTTGTCTGTCATTCACCATCCATCCACCTACCCACCCTACTCTTCAGTCACCCATCCAGCCACCCACCCACCAACCCATCCATCCACTCATCCATCTATGTCATCTATTTACCCATCTATCCATCCATCCACCCATCCACCTATCCATCACCCACCCATCTATCCATCCATCCATCCATCCATCCATCCATCTACTCAACTACTCATCTATCCATCCATCCACCCATCTATCCATCTACACGTCTATCTGTCCATCCACCCACCCACCCATCCATCCATCCATCTACCCAGCCATCTGTCTATTCATCCATCCATCCATCCACTCAACCACCCATCCATCCCACAATCATTTCCAGAGCATCCAGTGTGTCAAGCACTGTTCTAAGCTCTGAGGACACAGCTGTGAATAAAGTAGAAAAATATCCCTTTGCTCATGGAGCTGAAGGTCTGCTGAGCCAGCTGCTGGTGTCATCGTGATCAAGGACAGGTCTTGGGGGTGTCCTGGTCCTTCTGAGTGCCTGGGGACAGGGGCTGCCTCGGGGAGGCGGGGATGATAGGCTGAGGCCGAGGGCAGGAAGTGAGGGGTGCTGGCCCGTGGAAGGGGCTCAGGGGAGCTGAGGGGGCTGGGTCCCCAGCGCTGGGGGTGGGTTCAGGGCGCTGGCTGTAATTCTTCAGGCTGGGGAAGCAGCAGGGGCTTCCGAGAAGGAAGGGGAAGGGAAGGGCTGTGACTCAGGCTATGGACGCCCGCTCTTGGCTCCGTCCAAGTGTGTGATGGGGCCTGCCCCGTACCTCTCCCTGCTCTCCACACGGAGACAGGGGCTCAGAGAGTCTCTGAGGGCCTGTGGGTTGCAGCGTCCCCCAGGGAGGACAGTGGGTGCGGGGAGCATTCCTAGTGACAGTCACAGTGACACTGACCAGGACACAGCTCCGCTGCACCTGGTGCCCTTAAGAGCCCTGGGGAGCAGGCACAGACCTCTCGGCTGCTGTGGACGGGAACTGAGGCGGCAGAGCCGGGAGGCTGTGCCCTGGCGCTGTGGTCCTGGCTCCTGCGGGGTCTCAGCTCCTGGGCCTCAGTGTCCCTGTGTGCTAAGTGGGATCCTAGCGGTACAGACCTCATGGGTTTGTCACCCAGGATATGTTAAAAGCAGTGCCAAGGCTGGGTAATAAAACCAGGCCTTGTCTAAAAAAAACCAAAACCACACACACAAAAAAACTGGGCACGGTGAGGCATGGCTATAATCCCAACACCTTGGGAGGCTGAGGCAGGAGGATGGCGAGGTTGAGCCCAGCCTGGGTAACAGTGAGACCTTGTCTCAAAAAAATAAAAAGTGCTGGGGATGGAGCTCAGTTCAGTGCCCAGTGCCAGGGGGGTAGTAGGGCAAGCACAGAGCAACTGTCACACACGTACTCCCTGCTCTGTGAGGACAGCTCCACGCCGTGAAGCAGCAGCAGCGAGCCCGCTGTCCCTGCCGCGGCGGGATCTGAAGAAGCGAGGGCAGGAGCTGCCTGGCATTTGAGCGCGGCAGGGTCTGGGAGAGGAGGGGAGGGCGCGTTGGGGGTGGGGTGTGGGCCTGGCCCAGGCGAAGGTGCGCCCATCCGGGCCGGAGGTGTCGTCAGCCTGCCCGCTGGCCGCGTCCCCTTACTGTCCTCAGGGAGCCGGCTGAGTGCCCCTAACGTTTCCATTTGCTTTTGGCTGCAGGTCCGCAGGGTCTGTTTTTAGCTTCCCTCGCTGGTCTCCGCGCCCCACCCCCTCTTCCTGCCGCCTCTCTTGTTTGCTGTGGTCCAATAACGTTCCCGGACTTCCTGAGCTGTTTGTTTGAGGTCGGCTCAGTATTGATTACAGCTGCTGAGTACCGGGCTCCAGAGGCTAACAGACCTGCCCCTCCCTGGCATGCCCAGAGCTCAGAAAACCTCGGGCTGAAGAGAGGAGGGAGAAGAGAGCATGGCCAGGACGCACAGGAAAAATAAGCAGATGGCCAGGGATGGTGGTGCACACTTGTAATCCCGGCACTCAGGAGGCTGAGGCAGGAAGAGCGCTGTGAGCTCGAGGTCAGCCTGGGCTACATAGTGAGTTCAAGGGCAGCCTGAACTATTTTGGGAGATCCAGTCTCAAAACAACAACACACAAAATGCCAAAACGAATAGCAGAAAGGTGTGGTGTACATCCACAATCCCAACAGTGGGGGAGGTTGAGGCAGGAGGATCTCAAATTGGAGCCCAACCTGGACAATTTAGAGTCTTAACAAGACCTTGTTTCAAAATAAAAAAGAAGGGGCTGGGGATTGAGCTCAGCGGCACAGCGCCTGCCCCGCAAGCGCAATGCCATGAGTTTGATTCCCAGTACCAAACAAACTAACAAAATAAAAAAGAAAAACAAACAAAACAAAACAAGAAAACAAACCTAAAAAGGGCTGGGAGTATAGCTCAGTAAAAAGACCCTGGGTTCAATCCCTAGCACCAGAAAACCAAAACAAAACAACTTCCAGACTCCCAAATGAACAAATAAAAATGCAAATGGGGCTGGGACTGTTGCTCAGAAGCAGAGAGAATACTTCCTTTAAGTGTCCAGGCCCTGGGTTCCACTCCCCAGCACAGCAAAAACAAAAAACACCAAAAAATTCCTTAAAAAGAAAAAAAAAAAAAAAAAAACCACCAAAATATACTCCTCCAAAACCCCAACAGATGTCTTGGGTGCCTTAAAAGCCCCGATGCTGGTTTGTCCTCGTTCAGGCTGTGTGCCTTTGGGTGGTATGGCCACCTCTCTGAAGCTTTTTCCCTCTGGACGATGGGGAGAGGAACATTTCTGTCTTCCTAGGGCTGCTGGAAAGACCTGGCGGTATTTATTTATTCAGTGCCCATTTACCGGACACTGGCTCTGTGGAGGTGCCACGCACTGTCCTAGACTCTGGAGACGTAATGGAGAGTTAGACAAAGTCCCAACCCCAAGGGGGTTTGGACCAGCTGACCATGACAGAAAATACTGTACATTCTGGGTGGAGTGATGCACATCTATAATCCCAGCACTTGGGAGGCTGAGGGAGGACGATCATCACAAGTTTAAGGCCAGCCTGGGCTACACAGAAAGACTCTGTCTCAAACAAAACAAAGCAAAAAAAGCAAAATAAAATAAAATAAGCTGGGCATGGTGGCTCATGCCTGTAATCCCAGCACTTGGGAGGCTAAGGCAGGAGGATTGCTGTTGTGAGTTCAAGACCAGCCTGGGCTACAAAGGGAGCTCAAGGCCAGCCTGAACTGCATAGTGAAACCCTGTCTCAAAAAGACAAAAATAAATAAATAAAACAAAACAACATAGCACCAAAAAAGAAAATACACTTCACGGGCTTGGGAAACGGATTGTGGATTCCTGGTGGGGCAGGGGCCAAGGGAGGGCCATGGCTGCTCTGCTCAAATGGGTGGTCAGGGAAAGTCTATCCTTGAGAGGAGAGGGGAGAGTGACTGAGGGAAGCAGCCCAGGCTGGGGGAGCAGCAGGTGCAAAGGCCCTGGGGTAAGATGAGCCTGGGATGCTGGGAGGAGCACAAGGAAGCAAACGAAACAGAGGAGTAAAGCAGAAAACAGGAGCAGGTGCACAGGGGGGCGGTTGGACTGCAGCGAGCCCTGTACATGGGGCGGAGGATGAGGACCCTGTGTTCCCTGAGGCCACGGCCACTCCAGGGAGCCTGGGGCTGTGCAACACCTAGCTGCCCACCTTGAGTGGCGCCACACTCACCACCTCCAGCTGGCATTCACTTCTGGGCCTCCTGGGGGGCAGATCTGAGCGAGGGGGCAGATCTGAGCGAGGGGGCAGAGAGGGAGCACAGGGGGCCACCTGGAGAAGAGAGAGAGGGGCTGGGTGAGCCGCCACGTTCTTCTTATCCACTCTGGCTTCTGCCTGGAGGAAGCACGCACCGTACCAGATACAGTGAGGGAAAGGACGGGCCCCGCCCACAGGAGGCGGCAGCCAGGGAAAGCCACGCCCAGACACCTGGGTGGGAAAATGTCCAGGCCTCTGACAGGGCCCCTGCCCAGCCCCCTCCCTCAGAGCCGGGCATCCGGCCCCCAGGGCCCTTCCTACCTGCTCCGGCTCCAGCCCCAGGCTCTCCCGGTCACGGCGGTCATCTGTCACAGCATCGGCCCCGCCCTCCGCTGTCCCTCCCCGGAACTGATGGATGCTCACGGCCTCGTGGCCCTTGATCTCGCAGCGGCAGAAGGGGCAGGTCTGGCTGTCCCTGCGCTGGGCGGCGGGAGAGAATTGGTTGGCATTGCCCTGCGTCTGCCATGTTCTCAGACTCTGAGGATGTCGCCTCTACCACAGGGACACGGAGGGCAGCGGTGGTGCAGAAATGCAGGTGGGGAGGCGGAGGAAGCAGGCTCACCTGCCCCTGGGAGCCTCCCACCATCAGGGTTGTTCTCCAGAGCAGGAGGCTACGGCTCAGAGAGGCAAAGCTCCCAACTCCAGGTCACCCAGCGAGGGAAGGAGGGCGCCCTGCCCCCACGAACGTGGCCAGAGAAGGCGGCGCAGAGGCGATGTGCGCAGGCGCAGATGGGAAGGGCGGCACAGACCGGCCGTGGGCCTGGTGATCCCCAGCACCAGGGTCTGCTCCTGGTCCTTGGTTTCTCCACCTGACCCATGAAGCCCTTGCGAGATCCTATTGGGGCTTTTACTGTGGAGGGGGGACCTGGGGCGGGGAGGCAGGGCAAGGGCCCACCTGCCAGGCAGCCAGGCAGTGGCTACACAGCAAGTGTCCACAGGGCTCGATCTTCACGTCCTTGTCGTTCTCGGCACAGATCTTGCACAGCTCGAATGTGGAGTCCATGGCCCAGTAGAGCTGCAGCTGCTCCTGCAGTGAGCGAGTGGTGAGAACAAGACAGCAGGGGTGGGAGCTGGGCAGCACAGGAAGCCGCCCCAGCCCGCACCGCCTGACCCCCCTCCAGGCTCCAGGGCCGCCTGCAGGTCCTCACTGCCTGCCAGGAGACTTCCTCCTGGGTTGTCTACTCTTGGGGTTGCCAGTTTTAGCAAATAAAAACACAGAATGGCCTATTAAACGAGTGTTGAGCTAGGTGTGGTGGTGCACACCTGTCATCCCTGCACTCTGGGAGGCTGAGGCAGGAGGACTGCAAATCCGAGTCCAGCCTGGGCCACTTAGTGACTTAGCGAGAGTCTGTCTTAGAAAAGATGTTTTAAAAGGGCTGGGGCTGTACCTCAGTGTGCAGATCTTGGATTCCATCCCTTGTAAGTATAAAAAACAATTTCCAATAAGCAGCGAATAGAATCTCTCGCTGGCAAACACTCAGGCGCACTCACTGGTCCGATGATCTCAGCAGCACCACTTCCCTGTCCAAGCCCTGAGATAACCCCTGGGAGGGAGGCAGGAAGAGCTGCAGTTTCCAGAGGATGAACTGGGCCTCAGAGAGGCCAGGGCATTGACCTGAGGTCACACAGCTGCCCAGTCAACACCACACTGTGGGCCAAGGCGAGGTGGCTTTTTTTTTTTTTTTTTTTGAGACAGGGGCTCGCTATGCAGTTCAGGCTGGCCTTGAACTCTCAGTCATCCTCCTGCCTCAGCCTCCCGAGTGCTGGGACTACAGGTGTGTGTTACCACATGCAGCTCCTGGGTCTTACCTCTGACACATGGATGTGCTGCTGGGGTTCCGCCCGGCAGAGCTCCGCCAGGTCTGGGTTGTGGTTCTTCCCGTCTGGGTAGAGGAAGCTGGGGGAGGAGTCCGGGCTAAGGGGCAGCACAGGCTCTTCCCCCCAGAGTGCGGGGGACAAGGACCAAGGACCATGCAGAGCTCCTAGGACGACACAGCGCCCCCTTCCCGGCTTCAACGGGCCTGTTCAGGGCAGGTGTCCTCGGGTCCCCCAGGGCAGGGGGAAGAGGGACTCAGTGTCCCCAGTGTCCCCAGGGCAGGGGGAAGAGGGACTCAGTGTCCCCAGTGTCCCCAGACCCTCCCAAGGTGGCCCCGAGAAGCCTCAGTGACTCCAGCTTTTGAGGCAAGGGGCAGACTGTGCACAGGAAACGGAACCAGGCTCAGGTAACCTTCCCAAGATCTCTCTCTCTCTTTCTTTCTTTTTTCTTTCTGAAAGGTTTGTTTAGCTCACAGTTTGTGGAGGTTTCAGTCCATAATCGGTGGCTCCAAGGCAGCGTAGCATGGCACAGGGGCAACAGTTCATGGGGGCAGAAGACAGAAAAAGCAATAAGCAAGGAGGGAGGAAGGGAGAGGTTGAGAGAAAGAGAGAAAGAGAGAGAGAGAGAGAGAGAGAGAGAGAGAGAGAGAGAGAGAGAGAGAGATCTCTTTTTTGTGAGGTAGGGTCTCACTATGTAGGTCAGGCTGGCCTTGAATTAACTCTGTTGCCTAGGCTAGCCTCAAACTCATGGCAATTCTCCTGCCTCAGCTTCCCAAATTCTGGGTCTCTCTCTCTTTCTTTTTTTCTTCCTTTCTCTCTTTCTTTCTCTTTTTGTGGTATGCGAATGGAACCCAGGGTCTCTGCACTGAGATACATTCCTGGTCCTTTCTTTCTTTTCTTTTTCTTTCTTTCTTTCTTTCTTTCTTTCTTTCTTTCTTTCTTTCTTTCTCTCTTTCTCTCTTTTTCTCTCTCTCTTTCTCTCTTTCTCTCTTTCTCTCTCTCTCTCTCTCTCTCTCTCTCTCTCTCTCTTTTTCTTGAGACAGGAACTCACCATGTTGTTCAGACTGGTTTGACCTCACTATACAACCCAGGCTGGCCTTGAACTCATGATAACCTTCCTGCCTCAGCCTCCCTAGTGCTGGGATAACAGGCGTGCGCCACCACGCCTGGCTTTTTAAAATTTTGAGACACACTCTTGCTAAATTTCCTAGACTGGGTTTGAATCCTCAGCCCTCCCCTCTCAGCCTCCTCAGTGCTGGGATTACAGGTGTGTGCCACCTCGCTGGGCTCGGACTCCACCCTTCTCCTTTAGCCCTGGTCATGACAGAGTCACAGGTTACAGTAGCAACTGAGTCCTTGAATTCCAGACTCTCAGCACTGGAGGATCTCCTGAGACCTTTCATACCACTTCTTGTGTGCGGCAGAGATGACTGCTGTACAACAGCACAAGACGCCTGGCTGGGGCCCTGAGGTGACGTCACACATCGTGTGACCAACGCTGACCTCAGTTTCCCCTTCTGTAAAATGGACATGATCACGCTCAGGGCAAAGACTGGTAGAGAAGGGCAAATAAGACAAAACTTTAGTTGGGCCTAGTGGCCCATCTCTATAATCCCAGCACTCTGAGAAGCTAGGGCAGGAAGATCGCAAGTTGAAGCCCAGCCTGGGGTACACAGCAAAAGCCTCCCCTAAAATAAAAAAAAAAACAACAACTGGGAATGCTATTCAGTGCCCTGTGTTCAATTTCCACTGCCACAAAAAAACAAACAGGAAAAGTGACAAAACGCATAACGACGGAGAAAAGGGAACAAACGGACACTTGGAGGCGGGTGAGACAGTCTCCCCCTGTAGCCCAAGCTGGCCTCGAAATAGCAGCGATCCTCTTGCCTCAGCCTCCCCAGTGCTGCGATTACAGGTGCGCGCCACCACGCCCTGCTGAAACAGACTCTTATTTGTGGCATGACAAGGCTAGGTGTTACTCTCTAACACCGAGGCTGAGAAGCCCAGAAGCCGCGGAGCTCGCCCCTGGAAAGTTGCCCCACTCTACACATGCGCATGAGAGCACACAAGCACGCTGCACAGACTTCAGGGTCTCACAGCGGCGCTAATGAGCAAGTCAAATCGCCGACACCGAGCGGGGAGCAATGATCTAGCGTGGACACAAGCGTGCTGTCATGTATTCCCACTGAACAGCCGAGGAAGCAGGCACAGCGAGAGGCTGCTTCTGAGGTTTTAAACGGTTTCCAAGAATAGTGCTGAGCCGGGCGTGGGCGCGCAACCCCGCGCTCCCAGCACGGGAGGCTGAGGAAGGAGGCTCTCGAGTTCGAGGCCAGGCTACGTGGCGAGTTGAAGGCCAAACTGGACTAGTACAAAGTGAGATCCTGCCTCAAAACCAAAACCAAAACAAAACAAAACATCTATCGGTCATCTGCCTGTCTACCTGTCTATCATGTAGCTATCTGCCCGGCTCTCCTACCTGTCCCTAGCTGCCCATTCCGCAGTTTTGTCAATGACAAAGGCGCGGCTCCACTCTGGCTCTCGACTGCCACCTGCTGGACGTGCGCGGCACCGCAGGTGGTGGCTCCTCTGCGATTTTACCAGGTTTTGCTGAGTCCCTCTTCCGGCCCGAATGCGGACTCACCTGCCGTCCTTTTGTCCTTCCAGGAGCACCTGGAAAAGGGGTCTGTTGGGAGGGATGGTCTGCAGGATGCTGCCGTCCGAGCTCACGTACCCGATGGCCCACTGCCCCAGGCGGGTGCAGCTGGGCCGGAAGATGTAGCTGGAGGGAGACAAGGTGGGGTGGGGCGAGGGCGTGGGCGTGGTTAGAGACGCGGAATTAGAGAGGCCGAGCCCGGAGGGGCAGGCCCTCAAGGGAGTCAGCCCAGTGGACCGAGATTGTAGCTGGCGGCCACCCGGCCCGGGGGTCCCGACAGGCACCAGACGCCTAGGTGCTGAGCAGAAAGACTGGGTCCCTACCCCCGTCCCTCTCAGGAACGCCTTTGTGCTTCCTACCTTACAGGTTAGAGATAAACTGAGGGAACCGGTGCATGCCCCGCGGCCACACTAGGGGCCTCTTTCCCACCCAGATCCACAGTAGCTGAGCGGCTCCTTGTAATCCCACAGGCCGCTGGCACTTTGACCCCCGGTGTACCTGCCTTGTGACTTTGCTGTGTAAGTTACCGCTGACAAAGAGCCTCAGTAGCCACACTCAAACCCCCCGCCCCGCAAAAAAACAACCCAGGCGCTATTTTTCTTTCCAATAAAATTCTCCTACCCACCTCCTTGCTTCTCGAGCTCACTGCTCTTAAGTTGTGAGACCAAGAACTCGGCCCGTGTGACACCTACCGGCTTGGGAGTTATTTTCCCCGTCACACCCCTGGGCACTCCTGGTTCCTTGCCCCTGTGTGGGGGTGCGGGCGTCCACACGGGCTCACCCTCAGCTTCCCGACCTTCCCGCAAAGAGCTGCGAGACCCTGTGGGCCCGTTCAGGGGGTTTCTGCTGGTTTTGCCTGCTTGGTTCTTATGGTAACACCAGCCCTGTTTCTGTTTAGGGCTCTCCCTCGGGATCCGCTAGGGTGTAGAGAAAGCTGACCCTGGCATGACCGAACAGGGTATTTCAGGTCCTCTGACCACAGGGAAGGGAGTCAGTTCTGGGGCTTTTGCTAGAAGGATCAGAACCACATTACCTCCATTTTTTTTTTGTTTGTTTGTTTTGTCTTTTTGAGACAGGGTCTCCCTATGCAGTTCAGGCTGGCCTTGAACTCACTTTGTAGATCAGGCTGGTCTCTAACTCTCCACGATCCTCCTGCCTCAGCCCCCCGAGTGCTGGGATTACAGGCGTGCACCACCACACCCAGCACCTCCATTCTCTAGTGGCTGCTAAGTGGCAGTTTCTGGAAGCCATCTGCCACCATGAGGACAGGCCATCCCTGAGAACAAAGCTAATGCAGGAAACAGCGAATGGGTACAAACAGATGGATTCCTGACAGCAAGACTCGGACATCTGGATCACACTGTGCCTGCAACCCACACTGGGTTTTTCAATTTTAGAAATTAATTAATTCCTTTTTCTTTTCTCTTCACCCGGTCTGAAGTGTAACCAGAACTAGACCAGTGTTAACACACTTGCCTTCCTAGGCTCCCGTACTTCATGGGCTCCTAGACATGAACTTGACCTTCTTTTCTCTCCACTTTTCATATTCCATGTAGCTCAGCTCTTCAGCTCTGAGCCTGGGTAGGGGGAATCTAACAGCTCAAAACTCCTGGTTTGAAATAATTTAAGAACTTTGGGGTCTGGTTTCCCAGTCACCTACGCCAGCCGGTGTGTGTGGGGTCACATTCAAGATACTTAACATGACCGGGCGTGGTGGCGCACGTCTGTAATCTCAGCACTCAGGAGGCTGAGGCAGGAGGATGGCTGTGAGTTCAAGGCCAGCCTGGGCTACAAAGTGAGCTCAAGACCAGCCTGAACTGCACAGTGAGACCCTGTCTCAAAAAGACAAAAAAGAAAAAAAGAAACAAAAAAGATACTTAACATGGCTCAGCATGGACTCTGACCCATCAGAAGCGGACCTTACCCTGGGGCAGGATATTCAAGGCCCTGCCCAGGCCAGGGATTGTTTTTCAACTGCTGGACTATGGGGTGGCCTGAGAGCTGCGGAAAGGGCCCTGGGTGTTCTGCTCCGAGTTCTCCACTCTGCAGGGTCCCAGGAGCCTCAGCCCGTGGTGTCTGAGGCTCTCTGCGCCTCCCCACCCTGGCGCAGACCCCTGAGGTGTCCCGGCCCAGGCTGCCACAGTTACCTGCCTGGCTTGTCTCTGCAGGCCTGCAGGCGCTCCTGTACCTCCTCGTATGTCAGGAAGGCCATGTAGCCCGGGTGGCTGACGGCCAGCAGCTGCCAGTTCTTGAGCAGTGTTGGCCATGGCTGGGGGTGAGGTGGGTGTCAGGGAGGGGCCGAGAGGTCCCTAGCACCTCCCACAGCCAAGAATCCAGCCAGCTGTGCAGAGCCCCAGTGGGCCTTGGCAATGTCTACTCGGAAGTCCCAGACACATCCCCAGGCCCAGCTCCGCCCTTGGACCTGGGGTCCAGGCCCAGCTCCTCCCTCAGTTCTGGGCACTGTGGGCCCAGCCTGCCCTCCCTGACCTGGAAGAGCCTGGTGAAGATGTCAAACTCGAAGACGGACACGTGGCCACTGCAGGTGAGGTCGATGGTGGAGCACAGGGCCTGGGCAGTGGCACCGGGTTCCACGGGGTGGCAGGTGCTCAGCAGGGACTGGAGCTCAGCCCAGGGCAGCACACAGCTGCGGGGTTGGATGGGGAGAGCTGGCTGAGCCCAGGAGCGCCTTCTGGGGTCCCCGCAGCCCTGCGTCCCTCGTTCCCCAGGTCTGGGCAGGGCGGGCCACTCACCGGGCGCCACAGCGCTCCCTCCAGAAGGCGTGGGCCGCGGCCTTGGTGAGCTGGTAGCTGTCCCCGCGGTACTTTCCCCCGGGGAAGAGTGCGCCCAGCTCCGCATGCATGTGGCTGAAGATCAGGGCCAGCTTGGCCAGCTGCCGCCTGCAGGGGCGAGCTCTGAGCACCGGCTGGGCCTTGGCGCCCCCGCTACGCCCCCCTCGGAGTTCCTACAGGGACAGGGTCCCCCAGACCCTGAGGCATCAGTGCACATGCGGGTGCAGCCTGAGATGGTCTCAGTGCTGAGGCTCCGTCTCTGGGCCTCAGTTTCCCCACGTGTCGAGTGTAGAAGCAGCCAGGGCCCAATCAGCCTCCAGCTGGTGCAGCCACTTTGTGACCCGCCTGGTCACAGCGCATGCTCACAGGGTCCCCACCTGGGGGCTGCGGCTGGGCCTCTGGGGCTCCTGAGCACCGGGTAGGGATCAGAAATGGACCGTACTGACGCTTAGCAGCTCAGCCACTCTTGGCAAATGCCTTTTCTTTCTTTGTGCTAAGTCTGTTTCCTCCACTGAGACGGCAATAGGCCGGGTAAGGGCCACCCCTGCCTCCTGGGACCCATGAGGGTGCTGATGTTTTCTGAGCAGGTGGGGTCATCGCACCCTGGGCAGAGCTCGCATCAATTTTATCACGGGTGTGTTAGCACACGCCTGTAATCTCAGCACTCGGGAGGCTGAGGCAGGAGGATCACCACAGGTTTGAGGCCAGCCTGGGCTACACAGGAAGACCCTGTCTCCAAAAAACATTCAGTGTGGTTATTTTACAGGAGTAGCTTTATGGCCAGCCCACACTGCGAGGTACTGAGGATGCGCATTACAGCTGGGTGACATGGCCAGCCTGGGCACCTTCAGTGAGGCTGCTTCAAAATCAAAAAGCTAAAATGGACTAGGGATATGGTTCTGTGGCAGACTGCTTGCCCAGCAGGCACAGGGTTCTGGGTTCAATCCCCAGTACTGAGAGAAGAAAGAAAAAAAAAAAATACAAGAAGTGAAATGCACACCAGATTCCAAAAGAATACAAGTTGAAATAATATTTTGGGTATAGTGAGTTAAAGAAAATGTTATGAGAACTCATTTCATCTGTTTTTTTAAAAAATATTTTCGTAATGTGTCTCCTAGAAAATTCTAACTACCTACACGGCTTGGATAAGGTTGTCAGGGACACAGCCGGGCTGGGACCTACTCTGATGAGTTCCGGGAGCCCCCTGACTCCCCCTGAGCCTGTCCCCCAGCCGGCTGTCCCTGGGGTTCGGAGCAGCAGAAAGGGCAGGCACGTCCAAGGTCCTGGGCCAGCTGCTGCGCAGGAACTGCAGACCAGGGCGGCAGGCAGCGCAGGCAGGGACGGCAGTCTGGTGTCCAGAGGGGACCATCCGTCCTCCTCCGCAGGAAGCCCAGGGACCCCACACGCCCAGGGGTGTGTCTAAGGCTCCTGGGACTCCTTTACTGGGACCCAGAAAGCGGGAGAGGAGGGCTGAAGGGGACCAAGGGTGGAAACAGAAAGGGTGGTTCGGTTCTGCTGGGCTCGAGGGCAGAGGCCGGGAGCCCCATCGGGGACCGGGACCGGGACTCCGTTCTGGGACGAGGCCATCACTCACCTGAGCCTGGAGCCCTCCCGGAAGAGCTCGTCGTTGGCTCCCCGCCTGCCTCTGGCTGGCAGGAGCGCGGCCACCTGCCTGGCCTTGGCCTCCAGGTTGGCCAGGTACACCTCGAGGAAGTCCCAGGCGCCCCCGGGACCCTCGGCGCCGCCCCCGCCGGCGTGCTGGCGCGCCCCGGCCACC